GTCAAAAGTTGGCTCGGGCTCGTTTAGAAAGATTTGGGAATTGAGCTCATAGTTCGCAGGGCGCAGGCTGTTTAGCAGACTACTGGTTTATCCCCAGGGTATGTCGCAGTCATGCTTTCACAACCATGTAGTTAAACCAGCATGGACACGTTCAATAGACACATGTTTGTACTTGTACTTATATAAGTATTATATATAAATATACACACTGATCATGCTGTGGGCATCCAACCCGAAAAGCCTCCATCGCGGGCCATTACTTTCTTATGGACCCTAGCTGCAGCCCCTAGCCGTAGTTCCTAGTGCTTGCTCCCCACAAATTTTTGCAGACCTGCCGCTTCGCGAACTGTAGACCGAGGACATTACGCGGACGATTGCCCGTTGAAGGATTGGAGATGCCCTGATTGCAATCGCAAGACTTGCAAGGGGGATTGCCCTCCCAAGCCCAAGACTCTTGGTCTTGCCGCCAGCAACCTTTTCGGCCCTAAGTCTCTCTTGTGCAGATAGACGCTGGGGAGTAGGTCGAGCTTTTTTGAAACGCAAATTCAAGGTGCCTGTTCTGGATGAAGAGTTTAAGGTAATCATTAAGAGCGTGTGAAGTCCACTCATGTTTTGGAGGAGCAGCTCTGACTTTCACGGACCCGAAGTTGCAAACTAAAGTTTCACGTTTGGATTCCTGCGACGCTGTGCGACATCATTCTCTGCGTTTACACCTAGATAGCCAGGACAAATTGTTTTGTTAGCTTCCTTGTAGTCCTTGTAGATGACTGATTGTCTTCATCTAGCCAACATGAAACGGAGCCGGTCTTGACGCGCCATTTGTGAGATTCAAAGTTTGTTTATCTCCAGTTAAAGCCTGTGCAATACTGGCCTTCCCGCGTTGCTTTTCACAGTCCCAAAGCAACCTAAGGCAGTGAGACTGTTGGAGATCCGTCCTTCTCCACACAAGTGAGCAGTGCTTTCTTGGCTTACGACCAAGACCATGGCCCGAAACTATGACATGCGCCATATATCAGTGCGATTTAACCACCTTGAAGAACTATCCTTGTTCGGGGTCTTGGGGACCAGCCCTGCTGAACGGGGATTCCTGCTAGCCCACGAAATCATTGCTTGCATGTGATGGTGTGATCACGCAGCTGTGCGCCAAGTGTACAGAGGTGCGCTGCCCGGCCCTTTTGTACAGAGGCAGATGTACCTGGACTTGGCATTCGACTTAGAACCAGGCACCAGGCAATACTTTTTCTGATTCATGCCCGTGGGACAGAAAATGCATGCAGATTATCACTATGGTTGTTGTTGGGCTCAGCCTTTCAAAGGCAGACGAATCCGGAAAGTCTTTGGCACTAACTGCTGAGAGAGCGCTTCCCAGCCATCTTAAGCCCGAGAAAAAGTGGCACACATTTTAGAATACATATAGAAGTATAGTATAGGAGGACAGGGGCTTCGAGATTTGAGAGAGGGCAGCAACCTGAAGGAGGACAGCCTGTCATTTGTTCACCCTTTAAGCCCGTACTGTAAAATTTAGCTTTTGTAGCTTCCTCCCAGCAAAGGCAGCGAGATGTTGTTGGAGATGCTCTCACGGGTAGCAGCAGACGTCATGCCTCTCCAAGCAGAAGAGCAGGTCCGCTCGTGTCCGGACTTGGGGTTTTTGGTGTTCGCGTGCTTGGACGTGGGGCTTGTTCAAAGCATGTAGGCGCTGTAGTTGTTAATGGTCAATGAAAAACATCCTAAGCACTTCATTACAGGAGTTACATCAAACGTTCTCTCAGACATGTATTCTGGCACGTGTATCGAATTGCATCAGCATTTTCATGAAAGCTCATAAATGTATCCTTCTGATGTAAAAGTACCGAGCTTGCCGTGACACGCAAAGCCAGTTTCTGAACGCATGCGGCATGCATGTCCAGGTTTTTTGCACTTTGGTGCGGTGCTGGTGCAGCTTTAGGGGGTTGAGATGAGATGTTCAGGGTTTGAGAATTCTGAAAACATGAATCCGAGCAGGGGTTCTCAGGGATATATAGGAGTGGCGCTCAAATCCGCGGTGGTATTGCTTCGGTTCCGCATTTCATGACGTCAAAAGGCTGAAGAGAGGACGATGACAACAAGTTAAACTTAAGTAGCCCGGGAATCCAGCCACACAATCATTGTTTGGTACTTGACCTGAGCCACAACTCCTGAATTCGAGAGTCAACAGAGGAGCAACGATTCTGAGTGCTGTGTAGAGACAGTGCTAAATGGTAGGTCCTCCCTCCATCCCGGGCACCCTTCCAAACCCTAACCCTAAACCCTTAACCCTACACCCTGGACGGTGTGGCACTCCCTGTGCTAGGCGGCGCTGCGTCAAGCGCACAACCCCAGCAGCACCGAGACCGCAACCCGCCGTCTTGTGGTCGCAGCACCTTGGAATTCAGCTGAGCCCCCTCGGAAAATGTAATGTAGGAGCCGACATGAACCGTTCGAGTGAAGCTTAGTCTATAAGCATGAAAAGGGTGACATGCGGGCAGCGTTCACTGTGCAGGTTTATGGGGTACGGGCTTACGGGAGCTGATGCGCCCCAAGGGTTGAATGAGAAGTGTGTGGTGGGGACTTGGTGTCAGTCCTTCCCGTTTGGGTGTCTGGTCCAGGAGTCATGATTCGCAGAGATAGCTCATTGTCACTGTTATGCGTTTTTCTTGCTTACAGTTACTTGTTATTGTCGCTATTCTATCAACCCCACAACCCTCAGTCCATGCACACCAAGGTGGCAAAGCGCTGCTCTGGCTTCCACATTCTCACGGAGGAGTCCCTGCGAGACGAGCAGACCGATCTGTGCCTTGCATTGCTTCAGGGGCCTTAGAGAGTGTAGTCTTCTCAAGAGTTTTGTCGTCTTGTAGGATCCTACAAGACCTCTTGGGCGTGAACAGCTTCGAGGGGTTCTAGTCTTGTGAAGCTTGAGGATCTGGGAGAGCTTTCCGGCCTAGTTTGTCTGAGGCAGTTCTTCACAGGGTTGGGGTTAGTTAGAATTTGGGAGGGCAGGCTCATGAAATGCCATTCCCGTCTCAAGTCCAATAAGTTGGATGTGCCCGTCCTGTACTTCGAAGTTACCAGTTGGAGCTGTGAGACGAAAAAGGAGTTAACAGAGCTCCTTCAAGAGCTTCGGCTTCGCGATCCATACTGGAACCAGTGGTCCTGGCATATGCTTTTTGTGGTCACAGGCCTACTAGGCTCCTTGAGGAGATGCGGGTCTGCCGGGACAGTGTGTGATAAAGCGGGTACAGGGGAACTCAAGATCATGCGGCTCGGGTTGCGCAACATGGCGACCCGCGTGCTGCAAGCGACCCCGAAGCCTAGGCCGCGCATGTTCTGCGTCATGCAGTGCGTCTCTTCCAACAGCCCACCCAAAGACCAGCCAAGGTCCCCAAGCAGGAATCTTTTCCCCCCGGGTAGTCTGAAGCCGCAAGCTCTTAGAGAGCTATGTGTACCTTGGATTCCAGGCTCTGGTGGTGGTCTTAGAAGCCCTGAACTCTCAAGCCCTTAGACCCTTCAGCCTCATCTTCCAACCTTCAACCTTACTCTAGAACAAGAACATCAACATGAAACCCAAGCTATCGCTACCACCCTATTGTCCAAACAGCATCCACAGTACACCATGCCTCAAGCATGCTTCAGAGTGTTCGTCGTGCCCTTTAAAGTGAGTAACAACAATCTCCGTGATCCTTGCACTAGTCACTAGTCCCTATATACATTATTGTGCAATGTAAGCACCATTTGCTTTCAAAAGCATAGCTCAAATAGTTCTCAAACATGGTGATGGTACCTAACTGGTTCTTAGTAGGGAAAACGGGAATCGATTATATAGGCATTAACATAGGGGTTGCATGTCCCTATTCCCCACTCAGAACCGGTAAGGTACTTAGTCGGGCCCTAAATCCTAACCTTAAACCCAACACCACTTGGCCAATGAATTTACAGTCCTTATCACCAAGGACGGCGGCTTTCTTAGCTGAGCTTCTGGCACCCCGGCGCGAGGGAGCATGAGGGGCAGTTGCCCTCCCTTAAGCTAACATGTCCGCCCAACAAGTGTGCAGAGTCTACAGTTCTTTCAGAGTTGGTCTACCTGGGTTTCCATGCTAGTTTGGGGAATTTTAGGGTTGCTGTTTGAGGCTACATGTTTTAGGGAGATTCTTGCGGCTGGTCTTAGCCTGCTTTCGGTTTCAGGGCTAAGGGATAAACCTCAAGCCCTGAACCGTGTTGGTATCACACCTCGAGCCTACAGAGGTCAAGGCTACTGGAGCTGACGCCTCACCCCTAAACCCTAAGCCCCTAAACCCTTAACACCACCCTCCAAAGACGAACTAGCAGCCTTACAGTCTCAACTCCTGCAGACCCAGACACAGGTTTGATCAATAAGGAAGTCATGCTGCTTCGCTGCCATTAAGCTCACTATTCCCTTATATACCCCTATTATATGTAGATAACCCCTCTACTATATATCCCTACATCTCATATAACCCCGCATCTTGGAATGGCAACGCCATTGAAGGATTTTCCAGGTGAGAGCTAGGAAATTCCTCAAATGCCTTATAGAGGCATGTTGGTTTAGGACTCCATCAACAAGCCCTAAACAGCATCATGCCTCAGCAGCTCTACGATTTTTTCTTAGGGTCGCACGCTCAATCCCAATCCCTAACCCTGAACCCTAACCCTTAATCCCAATCGCTAGGCCCCAAGATCCCTGGACGCAGCACCCCAATCTCTGGGACGACAAGCTCGAATCTCCAAATCCAACACCCCAGCCCTGGATACTGATCTGTTTCCAGATGCCTGAACCCCTAGGGTATGTAAATTAATGGTCCTTTGGGATGTTTGCAGGCGTTTGGGGCCAGATTTTACCTATTTTGGGGGTTGAGGTACTCCCATCCTCGATTCATACAACCCCCCGTGCCCTTGTAGCAGGGGGTTCTTTGTGGGTGTTTCATCGCCAGAGGAAGGGGATGTTGAGCCAGGTAAACCGACCAACAATGCCGGCGGGACCCGACTCGGAAATCCGGTATCACATGGACAGCTTGGCAGCCATTGTCCTGGAGGCCCCGACGTTTGCGATGCAGGGCATGGGCTATACACCCTAAACCTTAAACCCTGAACCCTAAACCCTAAACCTTTTGGCTCTTGTTTTGGTTGACCTGGCTTCCTACGGGTCATTGGAACTTACGTGTGCGATGTCCTTGAAACATCTTCTGAATGGGCCTGCCTCGGGCTCCTAGTCCTCCCCAAACCTAGATATTGCGATGTAGTGACCAAACTTGTTGTTGAATTCTGGCAAGCGCTACAGTATAGCTGATGCATATTTGACTTGTTTTGCCTACGTGCCAGAGGAGGGTTTTGGGTCTCATGTTGTTCCGCACGGTTGATCGTAGGGGGCATGGGATTTGTTTGAGAGCTTCAGCTCTGTGCCTGCATTTTGGCGAAGGGTTTCAGGACCTAGGAAAATAGGTAGTGACCCGTACCAGAGCATCGTGTTTCAGGACCTAGGAAGATGGGTAGTGACCCGTACCAGAGAACTGTGGCTGGGAAGCTATAGTAATTGGAAAACACCTGCCTCCAAATCCCATCAACCCAGAATCTAAGTCCTAAATCCTAAGCTCTACACTGCATACACCCAAAGCTAAACCTCTGAAGCCTAAGCCCTATAGGCCCTAAACCCCGACCCAAGCCTATGCCTTAACGATGTAAACCTTTAAGCCCTAGGCCCTACCTGCAACCCCAATTCGCTACAGCTTACTAGCAACTACGCCCTGATGAGTAGGTATTACCCATAAAGACCCTAAACCCTAGACCCAGAATTCCTAAAAGAGGCTTCCAAGACCGAGACAAAGGGCTTACAGGATCTTTGTGCCTACCTGCAACATGGCGGCCTACAGATGTGCAACCGTATCATGGGATTATGTACCTAAATCCCCAAAGGTAGGGAAAATATTGGCCCAAAACCCCTGAACGCAGCACGAAGGGACATTATTTTGCATACTTTAGGGGTTCAGGTTGAGGGATTATGGTGATGTTTACGGATCTATAGTGGAATGGAAGAGACAATGGAAACTACTATTTAGGGTTGAGGAGCTTTTATTCAATGATTAAATGGGAGTTGCCACCAGCTTTTTGACGAGTCACTTTCTGAGGAGCCCCTTATAAAGCTTGAGTAGACTACATGGTGTTCAAGCTTACTTTTAGTAACTGGCTAGGGATGTCCTGCAAGTACTTATGATCGTTTTCGCTGATTCTGTCTAGACCCTCAATAGCGTTAATACCAGTCCGGGTTCCAGGGCAGATAGAGATGATTACATCACCATGTTACAGCACTGCTATATATGCTGCCACAGTGTTGCTATGACCACTACAGTACTACACTGCTGTACGACCATTCTTCTATGAAACTAGAATACTAATAGTGTCTTACTCTAGTACTTTATTGTTGGTATAGGGAGTTCTTGGGTTTGGGTGCGGGGTTAGGACTTGAGCATGGCAGAGTTGCAGTTGGAGTTTAGGGCTTGAAGTATAGAGAATTTGCCAGAAACCCAAGAAGAAGGCATAGCTCATTGGCCAGCACTTTTTTGCAGCTACATGTTCGGGGCAGAGTTCGCATTGAGTGGACCATTTTGAGAGGATCCCAGTTGAGAAGCCTCCATGCAGCATGTTTCAAGCTTCAAGCCTCTATAGTCCCCCTTAAGTAGATAGAATATGGGGTATATGGCAGTTTTATGATAATATACCCGAATTGAGGGGGACTCTATAATGCTGTGTAAGCTCGAAAACCAAGCAGCGTGGGTCCCTGGGCACCTCGAAGCTCCAAGCGCTAGGGCTGCACGAAGACCTCCCGATGTACCCCTGTGCGGGCGCTCTTAGTTGTGGGTTCTTGGGTCCTTCTTGGGTCCGTAGAGACGGTAGTTGCGAGAGTTTTTGCTTAAACCCCAAACCCTTAAACCCTCACCCCAAACCCACAACCCCAAACACCCTACACCCTCAAATCTAAATTCAGACCCAGAGTGGCTCAGGCAACAACGCCATGGAGAGATTCAGCCCCTCAGCCGCAAGCCTTGGGTGCTACAGGTTTTGGAGGTAGGGCTTCGGGTAGGGTTAGAGAGCTGTTGAGCCTTAACCCAAGCCCCTAAATCCTAAGCCCTAAACCACAGTTTGGGGAGGCATTGCGTGGATCTGATCTGGGAGAAAAGGTCCGCCAAAAACCAACCCAAACCCCTAAGCGCGGATCCTTGCGAGGTCTTGCCTGCGAGCTCTGCAAGAGCAGCGAAAGATCATGGACTCGGTGAACAACAAGATGAGGACAGGGCTTGCAGCTTGCCATACGAACATGAAGCATATTAGAAATAGTAGTAAAATAGTAGTTATACTGCTGAAATAGTAATAGTAACAGTAATTAATAGTACTAGTAGCAGTAAACGTAACAGTAACAGTAAGAGTAGTAGTAGTAGTAGTAGTAGTAGTAGCAGTAGCAGTAGTAGTAGTAGTAGTAGTAGCAGTAGTAGTAGTAGTAGTACTAATAATAATGATAATACTAATAGTCGTACCAGTGGTAGTCAAAAGAAGTTTGAGGATTGAGGGTTGAGGGCTGGGGTTAGGAGAATAAAGCGGGAAGAGGTTGGAGCTCTTGAAGCCTCTGGCTGCCATGGGTTCCTTGACATAATTGATGGTCTAAACTCCTCAAAGGGGGTTATATAGGGGATTATAAGGAGAGTAGTATGTGGCTTTTCAAGGGTAACACTAGGAGAATAGATTATAGCTAACATAACTGCTTGATGTTCCTGAATCCAAAAATGGTCTAGCTTCAAACATACCCTAAGCCCGAAGACCCAGACCCTAAACCCTCAAGCGCGCTGTAGGTACCTTTGCTTCCTGGGTTGCATCTGTGGGCTGCACAATCAACCCTTCGGTCTTCTCTCCAGGCATTTTTCGGTTGTTGAAGGGGGACTTTCGAGTAGCTGGCAACAGCATTTCGCAAAGTCAGGTTCCCCCCGGGCCATCCACGCAGGCATGACGCTCAGAGGAGTATATAGTTGAGTTTTAGCAGATTTTAGCAGGGATGCCAGTCCCCAAACTGCTACAGCTAGATTTTGTAAAGCAGGGAAGGTCTGCGCGGCTAAGACCCTCAGACCTTAAACCCTAAACCCTAGAATGCCACAGGACCTTTGCCCTCAAGATGCTGGTTCAGCGCTCTAAGGGCCGGCGCCTCAAATGGGGAGAGGTGAATGGGAGTTGCTGTAAGGTTTCAGGAGGTTCTCGGCTAGAAAAGAGGGGAGGTTGACATAGCACAGATCTTGAAGAGTCATAGGCAAAGTCCACACTTTGCTGGCAGCCCATTTCTTGAGCCAAAAGACTTTCCCGAAATGAACGACACACATACTTCACTCAAGTTTCATATTCTTACTCCCAGTTGTCGTCGTCCTCCTCCTCTCCCCTCCTACTGTTGCTCATTGTCTGCTTCCACAATCTATTGCAGCGACGACCGCTGTTGCCATGACTGGGCGACATGGCCTCCCCAAAGTTCAGTCAAGAAGCATTGCTCATCATTCCCAGCATGTGCGGCAGCTGTGTCCTTAGGCCCATAGGCCCTAAATTCTAAATCCTAACCCCTAAACCTGAATCACCAGAAGAAGCCAGGTGTACCTTGTAGCATGCTGGACTTGGTGAAGAAGGTGCGACAGGCAGCTTGGCCATGAGCTTATTTGTTAGAACTCTGGCATAAAAAGTATGGTTTCCTCCTCGTGTTTCAAAGAAACTCCTCCTCATAGTTGAATCCTCCTTCTTATGGTACTACTATACCAGAACCATAATGGGGAGCACTTTCTAAGAGGGTGTGGGAGGTGTTTCGTATACAACGGGAAGCGGTCAAAGGTATGGGGGAGTCGAAGGACTTCTTGCTCACATATGCAGTGCCCGACTATCATACGTCCAAGGTCCCGAAGGTACCCCTCATGTTTAGCCTTCTAAGCCTTGTTTCAACCTAGCTAAACCTTTTGACCTGAGATGGAAGCCTTCATCGCCAAGCCTCAAGCCTTAAATCGAACTTTCTAGCCCGAAACCTTAAGCCTGAAACCTTAAACCCAACTATTGCAGGGGTGGTCCACCTGAAGGGTCATCAAGACTACCCTAAACCCCAAGAGTCTAAGATCAAACCTTTTCACTGTGAAACCTCCGGCTTGAATCGTCATATGGGTTTGGTTACAAATTCAGGCGGAGGTCCGCGGCGATCTGATCTCTGGGGACAGGCTCAAGGCCGTTCAAGGGTGCTTGGGTTTCAGGGTTTTAGGGTTTTTCGGGTTTGGAGTCGAGGGTTGGGAGTTGAAGGCTCATTTTTTTGGATTTAGGGTTTAGGCTTTGGGGTTGAGGGGTGAGGGGTACGTACTAGGATTCAGGATATGGCGTGGGTTTGGACAGATCTCCTTTGTTTTGACGGGATGCGTGTGTAGGGTTTTGGGGTGAATCTGCATGTAGAGTGTACAAGGAATCCAAACAAGCCATAAGCCCTCTGGTTGTCATCGCGACAGCTGCTGCCACATTTGCATCCTCCGGCTACGGCAGCTCTTGCTGTGCTGATGCTCAGGGCTTCGGATCTGGGAGCTTCCAAGTAAACTAGGGTTCCCTCTTAATTTTGGGTGGTTGTACTGAGGATTACACTGTGGCATTTTGGGGTTTGTAAGGGGGACCTCGGGTGCTGGAAATCCCCATTCAATGTGGGGTTACAAGATTTTGGTTCTCAGGTTTGGGAGACTCAAGGCGTGTCAGGGTTTGCTGCTTTTGAGTTTGAGTTCTGCCTGTTGGTCTGGGCGCACAAGCTGCGATTTCAGAAAATGGTTGAAGGCGTGTGTGCTTTCTTGGAAGATCAAGGTGTCTCTGAGACGGAGTGAAGAAGGAGAACATGAAGGGCTTGTACTGGGACGAAGGGAAGAACTTTGAGCTCACCAACTGTGGTATATGGGGATCTTCTTAACATATACCCCAAGCCATATTCGATCTACTTAAGGGGGACTACAAGTGGTTCATGGCATGTTGTGCACCCACAACCCAGACCCCTGGGAGGATCTTGAAGGTAGAACACCCATTTTGGCACCTTATACCACTACGGGGTGATTTCTAGGAACCTTTAAGGGGGATCCACTTTCTAAATCACCCAGGGGTCTGGGAATGCAGAGTTTGGAGCCTCCTTCTGAATCGGTACCACGGTTTCCTTTTCAAGATGCGTGAGGGAAGCCTCGGCTTTAATCTTGAGCCGCACACGGCCAGCTGAGCCGCCAAAGTATGTACTACTATAATACATTGGAGTTGTATAGCGATAATGGAAAAGAAAATGGAAACTACTATGGTATGTTGGGGTTCTATAGGTATAACGGAAAAGAAAATGGAAGCTACTGTAGTATGTTTTTTTTTTTGGGGGGGGGTCCTTTTCTAGATGTTGGACCAGCATTTGACTTGCCCCTGAGGCCCTGGTAGGCAAGGCAGGTGCGCTTCTGTGGAAGTGATCCGTCTTTCCAGACATGATTTATTTGCGGAATATACGACAGGGAAGGTCAATTTCAAGGCGGTATAGTCTCACAATCTTACATCTGGTCGACCTTTGACTGCAATTTGCAGAGCCCGAAGGCATAAATTGACTGCCTGAAACCCTGATATCCTGCTTTACGTTGATGCAAATTGAATCGCTGAAGCTCTCATGTTCTGCATCTGGGAGCATGGGATAACGGATAACTACGTCCTTATCTGTGAAGCTCAGCAATAGCCCTTCTGTCACCGCCTGGGCCTGTGACAAACGTTGACATTGTGTGGTTCAGGCATTGGTCCAGAAGGAAATGAAGAGGCTCGTTTTCGGGAGAGGGCTTCAGTGTGGTTCAGGCATTGGTCCAGAAGGAAATGAAGAGGCTCGTTTTCGGGAGAGGGCTTCAAAGATCTACCAATAGAATATTTTGTCATCACATCAGAGTCAATTTAGCGTTTGTCTCCGCTGGCATTACACTGTAAACCCCATCCTGCCAATGGTACTCGTGCCTATCTCCGCTGGCACACCCTCGCGGACAAGGTGATCAGGTTCAGTATTTTAGGCATGTGTTTAGTAGGTGAGACCCTAAACCCTAAACCCTGAGACTAAGCAAGTCTCGGAGGCTGGGGATACAGTGCTTAGAGCTTCGAGGAGAATGATGGGGTGGGGCCCACCTGTTCTAGAATTGCAGGTGCTCACGTCCCAGAGAAAGGCTCAAGAGAATTCTTAGGCTGTAGTCCCTTTGGTAATTAAGGCTGAACAGCTAGTTGTTCCTTTGTAGGAGTCTGTCTGCCCTGTTGCTTAGCCCAAGCGGCCTCTACACACATCCTAAACCCCTGAACCCTAAACCAGCAAAGCCCCTATGTCCTTCTCATCCCACCCTTCCTGCAAACGTTTAAGTGCGAATACTCTGCGCGGAAGTTTTTTTTGGAATGTATGCAAACCCCAGGGATCCTAATAGCCCAATTTAGGTAGGATTTGCTGACTTTGGGGCCCAACGTCGGTGTTATCTTTATGGTTGGATCCCTAGGGAAATCTGGAAAGATAGAACTCATATAATGGAAGCTTTCCGTGCTTAGCACATCGTACCAATGCCTCTGCAAAGAGCGTTTGGTCCAGGATGCTGCGTTGAGTCTATGCACGTGATTCCTAAGTGGGCTTCCATGGTTGAAAGCACAACTTATTAGTCTTGCTGAAGTAATTGCCTTGCTCTACTGTTGCCGTGAGAATCCGTCATGCTTGTCTGTAACAGACCTCCGAGCTCAAGCGGGCTAGCCACCATTTGGTACGTAGACAGCAGATCTATGACTGGAAATGCTCACTTCTCACGCTCTAAACGCCTCAAGGTCTCTGTGCAAACCTCAGCCCTCATTTTTCAATGTCGAAGGGCCCAAAGTCTACCCAAAAAGTAATCATCAACACTTCAATGAATAAATCAGAAGTAATCATTAATTGCCAGACATCCAATGTTTCACCCAGCTCTTGCAACCATGCTACTGAAGCAGCAAAGCATTTAAGCCCATCCAACGAAAGAAGTGGAATCCAACAAAAAAGCCAACGACGAGAATTGGAAATGCGTCATCACCACTTGAGGGACATTCTGCCGTGGTGCTTCTTGCAGAGCGACAGCTCCTCAGCAAGGGATGAAGGTTAAAGCCTGGAGAATCAGGATCATCATCCCCACATGTCATGTTCTTTCCATAGTCTGTAGCCCATGAGCCTCTAGCCACACGTACACTCACCAGTGTCTTAAAGTTCAGAATTCAACCTGACAGCTTTTCATCCCTAATAGACCAGCCCTCCCATGATGGCCTGATAGATACCTACGTATCCCCGGGGTCCTTCCCAAAATTCCAGGTCTAATCTCCAAATCTTGAAGCTTGAAGCACTAAAATCCTAAACCCTGAAGCCCAAGTCCCCAAAGCCCAAATCCTAAACAGACCACCTCCCACATGCTAAGCATGACGTCAGAGTTCAAACCAAGCGCAGGCTTCCTGGGGATGCAGGCGCGGGCAATGCTGTTCGGAGCATGTAGGCTTTATTAGGATGTTAGGCTACCATGGTAATTGTGTATGTATACATATCGTGTATAGATATGTGCCACACGTATAAATCGTATACACGTGTACATATGCGTACGTATACATCTTCATATATATATATATATACACATATACATATACATATATATATATATATTTTATGCATATCTAGATACATACCTATGGACATATGAACGTGCATGTACCTGTTGGATGTAAAGGCGTGCAGATATTCAGTTTGGCTAGCCTTGTTGTTTTCGGAGGTTGGCATGCAGATTGCTTCAGGGGAGTTTCCTTGGCAACCTCAAAGGATGCAAAGAGTTTATGCATAATAAGATATGCTTTTCCAGCCTGGTAGTTTAGGGGGTGCGCATATCTTCATCAACTTCTCTATATGTCCTGCAAACCCTGCCTTCTAAGGTCGTACGTGTTGTGGAATGGAATGGCCTATATAATCCCTATACAACCCAAATATACTTTAGTGGTTTCCACTTTCTTTTCCATTATCCCCCTAAAACCCCATGAACCTCATGAAACATAGTATGATACAGTGCAAAGCCGCCTTGATAATATTCAGTCGCCCATCAAGGCTGCAAGAGGTCCCTGGATCTCGATTTGTTCCACATGACCTAGCCTACCCAACTGCTGCCGCTGCGAATGCTTCATGCCACAATGCCGGGTTTAGTGCATCCACCAGCAGTCCTAAAACATGAGGTTGTTCATGTACTGCTCCCCCAAAGAAATGGCCTGGACACTGTGGCCCGCAACCCCTGCTGCATAGCTCCATTGTGACAGGGTCCAGCGCACGGCTGTCTTCCGACTTAGCTCCTTGTCACGGGCAGCTTAGGGATGTTTGCTCTCCGGAAAATGTTCAATTTAGGGTTTAAAGTTTGACCTTCTGGCTTCATGTTTACCGCCTCCAAAAATGGTGTCATACAACATCGGTAGTCGCCTCATTTCTGTCACATGAACTCAGAAAGAATAGAGGGCACCGAGGTGATCAGATGTGGGTGTTACCAATGCACAGCTGCTGTCTAGTTCAAGATATAGTCTAAACTCTTAAACGGAGCTAATATAGGGGACGATTATAGTGGTTACATACCTATACGATGTGGAGATTGACAAGGAGATTCCGAGAGACATCCTGACACCCCGACGGTTGGGTTTGGGTGGGTTTGCTAGGGTGTTGCTGGGCTTTGGGTGGGTCTGGGGTGGGTTTAGGGTGGGCTTGCTTTGGGTTTAGGGTGGGCTTGCTTTGGGTTTGGGTATCTGACCTGTTCAGTTGCGTAGTAAAATTCAGGGTCGGAAATGATCTGTATGGTGCGCCAGGTGGGACCTCCAAATCCGAAACCGCTGTAATTCCTCCGGTGTACTGTGGGATAGATGTTGGGAGGACCCCCCACGCTGTAATAGTGACTATAAGGGATAATAGGGATTAGATTAGGATCCTCTTATATTCTTATTATACCACCTCCTAAGATAGATGACGTTGTGCAAAAAACCTTGCCGGATTCAGCCTTCAGCTCTTTAAAGTACAGGCCAGTAGGGACCTTATGGAAAAGGCTTTCTAGCATGGATGTTCAAATTGTGAGTTGGTATGTATACGGGCTGCTCTCAAAATTAGGGGCCCCTTTGGCTACATATTATATTGCGGAACCTGATATTTAGGTTTAGGGGAATAAAAACGG